TAACTCACTGCCAGGAGCACAGGTGGTACTTTAAAACATCAATTAAACTGTTAGCCCCCGATATGAAAAGATAATGCAACTAAACACACGAATGGGTGTACTGTACAAAGAGGTGCATTTCGCAGTGTTATGATAATAATCCTTGCATTTCATATAGCATCTCGAGACGCTTCAAAGCGCTTCACAAAACATACTGTAAAGTGTAGTGACTGTGTATTTTGTGGATGCAACACGACAGCCAATTTCGCACAGCAGCGTCCCCACAAACAGTCATGGATTGAAGTGACCAAATTATTATTGTTATTATTATTATTTTGAAGGTATTATTACCCTCAGAAATGCGATCTGCCAATCGACTAACAACTGGGTTCCTACTGACTGCTGGTAAACAGAGGCGTGTGTGTGTGTGCAGTAAGGAAACTTGCCCAATGTTTCGCCCTGACCTGCCCGGGAATCGAACCCAGGTCCTCTCGCTTGCGAGGCGAGTGCTCTAACCACTGAGCTAAAGGACTCCACATTGGCTGAGAATCTGATGGAGGGCTTGCAATTGTCGGTCGTCTTTGTTGCTCAGGCACAGTCTCTGTCGCTCACACATAGTCAGGGACAGGAATTCAGGAACAAGGATATCTTTTGCCTCGCAGGCTCCTCGAACAATGCAGACACGACCTGTCGATTGCTCGTGGTGTAAATTGGAAGGTACTTTTCACCACCTGACACAGAGGCTCCTACTGTTTCCAAAGCTAATTTACATCACTGTATACGGTAATTGGTTTTAATGAAAGATATCGGTTTTCCTTTTGTATATTTTTATTAACAAAGTGATTCTGTTACGGTGTCACCAACCCCTAAACACAATCATAATCCATCTTCCAGATAACAGTGTTGCTGACATTGTATGACTGCAGCATAATGGCAAATTTGGGAATGGCTTCCAATCATAATAAACACTGCAAAAGGCTTCACAGCAGCCACACTCTCCCCTCCGCCCCTCCCTCCTTTCCTTCAAATGGATTCGAGCCTTTACTGCCAAACAGACGACTGCTATCCTTAAATATATTCTTTCTTATTCACAGGAGAGTTTTACTGCTTTCTGCCCATTTGCTGGACCCTTTCACAGAACAATTACCTCACCTTGCTCCGATATATTTCATCTGCAGCGAACAAAAGCCTTTGTTTGTGTTTCCTCTAATCTTTACGACGTTTGCAAGCCTGTGTGAAAGCCATTGGTTTGGGGGTGATGGGGGGGGGGGGGGGGCTGTTGTGTTACAGGTCCTGCTTAGAGGCAAATACAGTCACAGGAGACTTTCCGCCAAGTAGGTGGTTTTCTTAAAGAACGCCTGCTACAATTCAAACTACTTCCTGTGGAAGTCACAGTTGTATCAACATCCTGCTGTTTTGTGTGTCATGAAGTATTTAGCTCTGGCTATGACTCTCTATACTCCCAGCATGAATCCCGCAAACTAACTTCTTCAGGGCAATTCTCTCTTTCTCTCTCCTCTCGCTCTCTGAACACAATGTTCCAGTTCATTCCAGATGGGGCGACTTTTCAAAACCCAAAACACACACACACACACACCGTTTAGTAGCACAACTGAGATATCATCCTCGTTGATAACGTTGACCAAAAGCAACACGTTTTCTTCACCCCGACGTGTGCAAAACAGGTACCAGGGAATTTAGGTTTTTTTTAATAGAATGTTTCGAGTGGCGACTGAGTTGTTTCAGTAACTGGAGATCACACTTTAAACAGCCTTAATAATAATAGTATAATAATAATCCTCGCACAGCAGTGTCCCACAAATAGTCGTAGATTGAGTGAACAAATAAAATTTGTTAAAAAAAACAATTGATCATTGATAACTGTGGGCATTCATTCAGAAGGTATATAGTACGAAATCAATTTGTTTTGAAAAGATTTTAACTGTGAATGGGAATAGTAACACTGGATAAGTAATTGTGAAGAACGCAAGTCAAACATCTTAGGTCATGTTCAGTAGTAATGGGATCTCAGCTGCATTGTCTCCTACACAAACTTACTGCAAGGACATTGTGCGTCCCAACCTGATGATGGCACCCTGATTTTGGATTCTTCCTTAGAGACTCCTTGGTAACCCAAAGAAACTAAGCTTTAAACTGGGAACATAGGAACAGGAGGAGGCCATTCAGCCCCTCGAGCCTGTTCCGCCATTCTATAAGATCATGGCTGATCTGTACCTCAACTCCCTCGCCCCGTGTCCCTTGATCCCCTGACCTAACAAACATCTAACCACCTCAGTCTTGAAAATGTGAATGGATCCACAGTCTTTTGGGGGAGAGACAGAGAGTCCCAGATTCCCTCTCCCAATACACTCTACAAAGGGGCAAAATCTCCCTTCCTGCCTCGGTCTATCTAGTTGCGCTTCCTCTCAGCTGCGTCTACGCTCCCATCTCAGGAACGTTTGGCCGAAGAAGGCGCGATTGTTCTGTACACGAGTGTGAATAATAACTATCTGCATTACTCAACACCGCAAACGCTTCCTTTCTGCTCAACCGTGTTTAGAATTTGGCACCAAATCGGAGAACTTACACAGGAGCTTTACAGCAACAAAGAGCACTTTTGGTGAAAGACGAATCGGGAGCTGGGAGGTCCTGTGATGTTATCTTCTTCCTGCCCTCATCATTAGAGAGAGAGTGGCAGTACTGGGAAACCATGCGGGCTGAGGGGATGAGATGTGTAACTGGACTGTTGGCTGGGAAGACAGTGTGCCTTTAAACGTAGGCTTTGTTTCAATAAAAGACCAAATATAGCATTGATGTTGAAGAAGTGGGTGTCAAGAGATTAGTACATAGTCCTGATATTTCGTCATCTGTAAATCTCTAGAGTCTTCTGGTCATCAGACAGGAAGATGATAATGGCAGCGTAATTGCAATACAGTTGGGTATCTGGCATTCAAGGAAGTTCCTTGCTGACCTTAAGGGTCTCCAACAACAGCAACAGATCTATGAGGACTACCTTTGCCACCGGTTGGTCACCGCTGTTCTAAATGCACAAGTCCAATGTTGCTCATGTGACTCGCTTGACACAAACGACTTAACACAGGTCCTCAATACATGGACCATTAGGGAGAGACAAGCTAAGGTCTCTGTGAGACTGACTCCACCTTCAGGTTGTGTGATGACAGTTCGGTATAAACAGTGCCCTCCCTCCCCACCGTAAGCACGTCTTTCCTTTTCTCACAAATCCAACTGACAACTCGGTCCTGAATCTCACAGCTGGGCTTTAAGAAAGGATCTGCGGTACTTGCCTAAGAACCTCTTCAAGGAAAACTCTTTGGGAAGTTGCTTTTTCTTAAGCTGCTATTATAACTTTCGTCAGCTCAGCGCTGTGAGATGAAAATAGCCCTCTGCACCTTGTCGGCCACAGTCCCAAAGGACTCAGTCATCGTTGAAGTTAGTGTTCAACAGGAATTGTACATTTTGATAAAGACAACAAGTATGATAAACACTCCCCTCCCACCCCCCCCAAGCTTCCAATCAATAATTTCAACCCAAAGAACTAACTTCAGAAACTCTGAAATTAGCGAAATTCACTCCCACACCCACACACCAATCTAAATACGTTATTTGGAACTTGGCATGTATACCGTTCACATTTCCTGTCAGCCTGGCCACACACTAGCAAGTCCACTTTCCCCAGCAGACTGGCTCTTTGAACCATTTTATCTGTTAAGCGGCACCTTTCATCGTTTTTTCCGAACTTTACTCCACTACAGCTCATTGGGATAAACACAGATGCAGCCCAGTGTTCCCTCTAGACTATCGTAGATGTGCAGAAAGGTAACAGATATGGTCTTCATTTTAACTTGAGTTTTTTGGAGACATCTTTGGTGAGAAGAAAGCATATTCCATTAACCTCATGGGGAGGGGGTGCAATCTAAAGCAACTGTGCAACTTTTTGATTTATAGTCTCCTTGGTGAAAACACTCTCAAACGTGCAAGAATAAGACGTTTAAGCTCATATCTATTGCACGGATTTTTATACTTGCTATCACATAGTTTACTCTGATTCCTTTAAGAAATAATAGTATTGGAAGTTTTCCATTTGGAAACACTTCACCCCATGAACCATTTAACAGCTAATAACAGCACAATTTTTCCTGGCTAGAAAAAGACTGTTTACTACTCCATGCCTACATCTGACCATTGGAAGCGAAATAGTAAAAGACAGTATGCTTGCTTGTAAAGGAAGGAAGGCACATACTTTTACCTTTGACCAACAAATGATACTGTAACTAAACAATACTGATTATTATAATTCATTCTGGGACATGGAGATTGATGGTCAACAAGTGGGACTGACAACATGGTCAAGCCTCATTCAGCAACCGATCATACACTCAATCCCATGAGAGAATAAACCAGTTTGACCAGGAACACAGTTGCAATGACCTATTTCTTTCCCTTTTGTTTGAAGGCACCTGTGAAGAACACCACAGCAATGGGAACAATCACCGAAGGTAATAAATACAGCTTTGAACTCATCAAAGAAGTGATCCTGACCCACATCTGACCCCCTACGGAGAAGCCTCCTCATTGCGGGAAGGGCAGTCTGGTGGCTCTGGCTGTTACTTGGCTGAACACCTTGCCTTTAATGTCTTAAGCTGGTTTCATTTCTTTTTTAAAAAAGGCTTTAGTCCACTTCTAGCTCAGATATGGAAACAATTCCTGATAGCATTTCTCTCCTTACTGTTGTATTCTCGACGTTCCTCCCACCAAGATTCAGACACCACGCAGTTCAGCTACATCCCACACATAATACACATATACACCATCAACAAGGATTATTATTATTATTAAACAAATCAAGTTCAAGCACCATTGTGGACAAAAGGTAGAGTAATGCTACTCTAACACTTCTGACTAGTTGCTACTTAACTTTATTCTTCAGAAAACAATGATCATCACAGTTGTTTCACATTTATAGAACTCTAATTCTGATAAACTTCGCAGAGAGCACTTACTTCATCTCCAGCACTTCTTCCAGTTGCTTTCTCCGTTCTATCCGCAGATTGGCAAGGTGTGCTTCTCTCTCAGCCAGAGACTGCTGTGTCGAGGTCAGCCTAACCTTCGTGGAATCCAATTCCTGCCTTGTCTTCTCCAGTGCAGCCATCAGCTCCTCCAACTGTTAAAGAAACTGGTATAAATAAGTCTTCAGAGAACTTTAAAAACTCACAAATTAAAGTCATTCTGGGAATCCCAACAATTCTTTAGCTTCACATTTGAACAGTGTGAGACACTGATGGCTAATGTATCTTGCCTCAAATTGCCAACAAGACACATAACCTTGTAAATTGTGTTTGATTTCAAGATCAAGTCCAGCCTAAAACTTTCCCCTTCTCGTCTTGATTTTAAGTTAGTCAGGTGAACAGATCCATAGAGATGAATATATCAATGTGAATGAATGGTGTGATATCAGCTATACAGTAGGCAGATCACATCCACAGTCTTCACATCACAATTCTCCAAATGGAGCCTTTTTTTTATATAAACTAGTTGACAAAATGTACACGAAACATTCCTGACTTAATTTTAATAAGAAACTGCACCCAGTAAACGAGAGCCGATTCAGAACTGCCTCTGAAAGTCAACCGCTTTTTTAAAAAAATTGTACAAATTATTACAATCCAAACATGACAGGTCCATATTTGGCCATTAACTGACCTAAATACCTTCTCCCTCACCCACTGCCCTATTTAAAGACACACTTTGGATTAGTGCACTTTGGACTTGTCCCTGAAGCCGGTAAGGATGTAATTGCATCAATTGCACTCCAATTTGATCAGGATTGCCTGGAACTCCATCAGGATACCAAATATGGTTATTTCATTCACTGCTGAATATGACCGGTGAAAATGCCTTCAGCGTAAAAAAAACACCACCGAGATTAACAACAGTTTCAGGTTTCTACCCTAACATTTACATCTCATACCACATTATCGTTGTGATAATAATACCTTTAATAAAAAAGTAATAGCGATTTGTTTTCTTTTTCAAAACGTGAAGTATGTTTAGGTGCGTGTAGAACTGTTGTGCAAACAGTGTATTTTGTGGGAAAAGTATTATTTGGCTTAAAAAATGCACACACATCACGTTTATCTCTGACATTCTCCACCTCACATTTTCCATCCAATTTGTTTTTATCAAATCAGTCCTCAAAATAATCACCTTTTTGTGTGAATTCTTGTCAAAGTAGTGAGGCTGAATAGAATAACAGAGTAACAAAATAAGTAAGAGAATAACACAATAAGCAGTGGTTAGTTTGCGCTACGGTTGGGTTTTAAAAGTCTCTGGCTTGAAGAAGGAATGGAAGAGCGAGGGAGTAAAGAGTTCCACACTTTTGAGATCCTGGGGAAGAATGAATTCAGACGAGGAGACCTTGTACTGAGCAAGAGAGTGGTTAGTTAGTAAAGGTTTGCTGAACATTCTGAGGGAATCCCAAATCACAACCATTTAACGCATCAAATAGCTTACAACTAACGACATGGCCAGTCAAGCATGAAACGCCTCTCGGAAGATGGTTTCAAATAGTGTCTTGTGTGGTTGGCTGAATCACCAACGCGTTTTGGGCACCAGTAAATACGATATACTTATTACACCTGGCTAGTCAACCAGCAGCGGGCAAGGAGAGAGTGCTCTCTTAGCCTCCAGTATGTGGAGTAAGTGCCTTGCTCCTTATTTGACAGGCTGTGTGTAACACGTAGAGCCATATAGTTGCTATCCTGGATGGCCAATCTTTCCTAGGGTGCCTGAACTCGGGAAAGTTATTCGGTTCAATTTGTTTCTTCCCTCTTGTAATTAAAGCACATTAAAGCATTTGAAGGGTTCTTCAGATTAAGCATTATTAATTATTTTGAAAGATTAAAAGGAACAAACTGATGAACATAAAATAGTAAAACCGAAATCGGGTTTACAATTCCAAGTAAATGACAGTTTCTTATAATGCTCTACAGCTTTTAAAATTCTTTATTGGATTCAAATCAACTCATGCTAACATAATAGAGTGGTGGGACGTGGGAAACAAGGTCACATGTTTTAGCAAAATTACAACAGCTCTGGGTTAAGAACAAAGACCCTGATTTTCTGCGCATTCACAGCATGTGTGTACATATATATATATATTAACATCTAATTGTTTCCCTATTTGGTGTCTTTCTTTTAAGTGCAATTTGCAGGAAATGCAAAATGTGTCTCGAGTCACTGTAGAATTCTTTAATAATAATCCCTGCGTTTGAATCAGCGCCTTATCATGTCTTCGAGATGTCTCAAAGCGTTTCACAGGATACACCGTCAAGTTGTACGGCTGTGTCTACGTTGTGGGCGAAAGCAACAGTCAATTTGCGCACAGCAGCGTCCCACAAACAGCCATGGAGTGAGCGACAACATTTATTAGGGAGATTGTTGGCTAGAATACTAGGAGCCATATCCTCTCTTTCAAATAGTGCCAGAGGATCTTTAACTCCCACCTTTAACTTATCTTCAGCCGTGCCTTCAGCACCCCTCTCGACTCTCTACCCCCTCCTCGCTCCCTCCCTTCCCTCCCCTCACCATTTCCCCACTGCTCGGGTCCCGACCCAACTGTACAGCGCCTTGGGATGTCCTCCCGACGTGAAAGGCGCTCTATAAATGCAATCTTGTTGTTGTTGTTGTATAGATAGCCAGGACCTCAGTTTGGCATCTCGTCCAAAGGATGGCGTGTGATGGGAAGCAAAGAAAAGGTCCACTTACTCCGCGCTCACATTTCTATTTCTAACTATTCTTGGCTATTCCAAGTGGGAATTCAGAATTAGTGCGGAACTTGAGAGCGGTTTCATGCTGCGGATTGTTCGTGTCCAGGGACCTGTATTTAGGCCGCCAGAATTCATTTCATACTATATATTTTAAATAATTCAAGCATTTAATCCTATAAACACCATCAAAGAAAATGTGTGTTTACTTTCAGAGACTGCCAAACGTTGCCTTTATACAACACAAAGCTCGGGTTGTGGGTTACTGCTCTCTAAGCCTTTTTATCCCATTACACCACTACTCCAGCTCTCTGCCTATAATTTTCAGCTGCAACTTTGCAGACCATTGCAGCTCATTTACGCCACACAGCATTTCAACCTGCCTTAAAAAAAAGCTATTATTTGAAACAGTGCTATCCCATTCATTTGTTTATCTGCACTGTGCAACTGAATTATCTATCCACTCCCATCTTAAACAATCTTCTGAAGAAACATTTGTACTTGCTAATTATTCTTATTGTGGACTGAAAAGCCGGCAACATTAAATGGGCATTTCAGGGGGAAAAAAAAGTTTGTATCCAAAAATACTGCAGAGAATTTATGGAGGAAACATTAACCCTTGATTTACCTATGGCCTTACCAGATTTTCATCATTCTTTTCTCCACCCACATGACCCCATCACATCAAAGCTCTTTCCCACAATGTGCTGAGCTCTGCAAAGATACATGCACATAGAACTACTTTCATCATAGTGCATGTATTAGATGATCAACATTAGCTGTACTTGAAAGCATGTAGGCAGTTTATGTCTCGCTTTGGAATATTGCCTGAAGTAATATGCAACCCAACAAGCATTTGTCCACAAAATACACATTCTCTATCTTCTGTGATGCGCTTTGAGACGTCTCAATGATGTAATACGACGCTATATCAAATGCGAGGATTGTTATTATTATTACGATCTTTTCCAAGTCTAGCGCAGCGAACCATTTAAGGAGGAAGCAACTCTGAAAAGAGTACAAAGTCACAACTGATTGATCAACAATCAATGGTGGTTTTGCTTGGATAGCAAAGGCGCAGCTGCAAGATGTAACGTTTACGTTGGATAGAAGCAGTGAATTTTGGTGCTGCCTGTGCCACCTGAATCTAAATAAATAGCGCAATAGGAAATCCTCTTTGCTTATGATTGTGTCATGTTGCCAGAATGCATGGAACAGCTGCACCACTGATTCCTGCCTGAGGCCGGGATGTGCATCAACACCTGCGTGTGTGAGGATTACTGGATGCTGGTAGGTACTCAGCCCTGAGTGGAATCTGAGACATATGATGGTGGAGTAAACTTCACAGTAATTCCAACAACTTGGCATCAGGCGGTCAAGCAAATACTGTAAACAACTAAGATGATATGGTCATATCATCTAACTCCTTTGTAAAAATCCCACCCTGTAGGTTTGGCATACAATGTCCCCATTCAGCTCTCACGTTAGGTCCGAGCCATTGGGAACAAGCTCTTACTACAAGAAACTCCACAACGGTTTCCTTGTGCACAATAATCTGAACTTTAAAAGTCTCTAGAATGCATCCCATAATCGCATTTTAAATGTTTGCAAAAAAGCAGCCCAGTTTGACTCTGTGGGTAAAGTTTGCATTATCTATAGTACAACAGTCACAACACAATACTGGGGTCATCAGAATTGTTCAAAACCCGACAAGGAAACAGAAGTCCAGAGAGCAGAAAGTGAAGTTAGAATTCTCCGATCACGAATGCAAAGAGGCTGTGAGATGAATGAATCACTAGGTTTGATCTCACTTATTTAGCAAGTAGATGTGCAGAACTAGGTTGAAACAATTCAAGCTATTAACGTAATATTATGCTCAAGAGCCAAAGGGATGGAATTAAACGAGAAGCAAATGGAGAAGAAAGTTAAGACAGCTGTGAAAATTCAAGAGTTGTTAGCATGAAAGTTTCGTTTGACAATCTCTGTATACTTATGAAGGCACTAAAATGACTCTTTTTGCCTGTAGAAAGACATTAAGAGGCAGATCAGGGAAGGTAGGGCAGCAGATATATCTGACAGCATCTCAGGTCAAGTCCCAGTAATGTTCCTAATATGCCTGGTGTGTGTGTGTGTGTGTGTGTGTGTGTGTGTGGGTGGGGGGCAAGATTACATAAACACCATGTAAAAATATATTAACAGTCACAAAATGAATCCAAAGCCATTAGTTTTTAAAGAGATTGTTGTAGAACTGAAAAGAGATAACGTTAAGAAGAGCGATTGATATGCATTACCTGTGCAGACCTCACAATCACACATTGTAAAAACAGCAGAAGCAGAAACAACATGTTACAGGAAGAAACGAGACAGAGAGAGACAGTGCACAGAGGTTTAAACCTGGTTCTTCAGCAGGCAGCTGATTCACTGAAACAATGTGCACCCCAGGTCCCTGGACAAGATATCACTCAGTTGTCATTTTAGCCATTTGAGTTCAGAATACATAATAACATAATAATCCTGGCATTTGGTATAGCTCCTCATTACATCGTTGAGACGTCTCAAAGTTATAGGATACACTGCAAAGTGAATTGACTGTATTTTGTGGGCGAAACACGGGGGCCAATTGCGCACAGCAGCGTCCCCACAAACAGCCATTGATCGAGCGACCGACTTATAATTTTTTTTTAAAAGTGATTATTTGCCCCAATGTAATATTGTTTAGGTATAATGGAGCCTCTTTTAAAAAAGAGAAATCAATTGGCTCATTTGCCCTTAAGATAATAAACTTTGATAATTCCCCAGCTAACATTTTCAATGTGCTTCGATTCCATAATAAGTCTTTTAAAAATCACTTTTGTTTCTGTAAGTTGATCTGATCATTGCATCACTGCGTGAAGATCAGTACCTTTTACTTTCACTGTTTGGCGCAATTCAATCCATCTTTTTACAGTGAAGAAATAATCCATTAGGATCTCAAGAAAGGAGTCTGTGGTTGGCAGCATGTCTTAATTTGTTTTTTAGTATTGAATTGATGAACAAACTTCCTTTGAAACTTTCGCCTGTAATTCATATTCCTTCCAGGTCTTTTGTATAGTAAGTGCTGCTAATGACAGTAATGGTGACACCTGCCCAAGATCTGCCAGTGGTTATCTTGTAAAGGAGAGATCGATTCTTTATCTGCCTGGCTCCACACTTCCAATTATGTGAAGCCCGGCTGAAAGGTACAGAGAATGAAAAGCACAGGACATGAAAGAACTTTCAGTACGAGGGCTTCTGTCAGGGAGCAGTCACTGGCTTCATGATGGATGACAAGCGCAATGATACGGAGGGCACGAAGTCTCAGGGAAGCACCTGTGGACTGTCGTTTCTATGGCTACTGGAGATCAGCACGTCATGATGGAAAAATTCACAATAACGGAAGAAATAAAAAGGGCAGGTAGCCATTACACGGAGAGAGAGTTTAAAAACACACACCACAAACCAAACATCTGAATCGAGCCGCAGCTGCACTCGGGTGAAGCAACAAGCACCAGTTGTGGCTGATCTGCTCAAATCCAATGCAATCTGAACTCTCCATCAGCTCCTTGTTGAGTTTCAAGGAACAAAATGAAGACCAGTGGGAGGTTCAGAAGCCCCGAGGCCTGCTCAGTGTCGAAGTGGTCGGGCATAATCTCTCACACGGTCTCAGGAGAGATTCCCTACATCACTGGGAGGCTCATGGTAGAGAAGACAGGTCCCTCCCCATTGACAAGGGAGTATGAGGACCCGCCTTTGTTCACCTTCTCTCAGTCCCACTGGCCAATGATCAGCAGAAGGTGAGGAAGTCCCTCGAGAAGACTGGGAAAAATAGTCAAATAAACTAGTGAGGAAATCCCCCCACTCCCCCCCCACCCCACAAAACTGCCGCCATAACCCCAAATTATTCACGATAACTAAACATCTCTCAGATTACGGTAGTGCCTCACCGAGGTATCATCTCCAAACTGAAGAAAATATAAATAAATCTAACTACAGCACAACACACTGCCTTTCACGTCAGGAGGACGTCCCAAGGCGCTGGACAATCAGGGATTTGGACCCGAGTTGGGGGGGGGGTCGGGATCGGGGAGGGGTGGAGGGTGGGACAGAACCAAATGTGGTAAATCAGCTTCAGACCGGGTAGGTTCCTGCCCCTGATTTCCACGGATTAGAACAGTTATTTTATAAGGCAACTTCACCTCATGGGAATAGAAGATACTTTTAAGCCATTGAATGCCTCCTGACATATGCCGTCAAGAGCAAAGAGCAAAGCCAAGTTCTCTCATGCAGACCTGTTTCTCTGTAGAAGATCGAGCTGCCTCTTCCTGGGCTAGAACCACCTCTCTCTCCGCAGTGATCTGCACACTCTCACGCAGGGCTTCCTCCAGCTCCTTAATCCGACTCTCTTTCTGCTGCATCGTATCCTGGGAAAAGGCAGGAAAACTTGGGAGCGTTATTTCAGTGGGAGCAACGGGAGCAAGGAAACCGCTCGAAGGCTTCTCTGACTATTTTCCGCTCGAACAAACGAAATCAATCGAGATCAACGGGTTAAAGTGAAAGCGGGATCCTTTTTTCAAACGCTAACCCTGGATCTACAGAGCAACCTGAGAGATTTAAACATGAGGTGAATGATCACACACCCACCCCCAAAAAATCTTACGCGCTAAGCACAGGAATGAGCAATGCTTCAGCTCTTTCTGCCGCTCTGGATAAAACTGTAAAAGAGTATAAAGGTAAGTCCTGCAATCAAAAAAGGTTAATTCAGTGCAATCCGATGGTACTGGGTTTGCTCACGATTTAAAGCCATTTTGTTGAATCAATGGCACAAACGTGAAAAAAGTTAAACGGATCCTGATCCGCGAAGCGGGGATGTGCCTGGGCGCATTGGATTCAATGAAAATGATCCTTTCTTTTCACAAACTAGGAGGGAAAACAAAGCCAAAACAAATCAAAGATACCTCAGCTGTGGTTGGTGCTGGCCAGTAACACAGGGAAGCTGTGTGCAGGCAAATCCCACCTACAAATTGAATCTGACAGAAGCGAACAACTTAATTCACTAAAATCAATAGTGAATGAATGTGTTATCCACCTCGGTACTGAAGGAGCAATTTCAAACCCCAGATGTGAGAGCTGACAATGCCGGTATTTTCAGAATTTTGCAGCCTATTAAATGGTCACAGAGATTTCTAAATGTATTCAGAAGCCGATTATTATTATCATTATTATTATTATTATTATCATCATCAAAAGCAAAGTAACTTCTACTCACTTGTCCCTCATTAGTTACTGCACCTTATAAGTATGTAGTGTCAAAGTCACTCCAAGTACCGGAAGTATTAATTAAATCCTCTTCCCACCATCCAGTCATATAAATCAATCCCAACCTTATCATTAACAAGCCAACTTGTGCTTTGTAATTTAGGCTAATTGTGTCAAGACTGAGCACTTAGATTTGATGAAATGTGTCAGCTAACATAATAGATTTAAATATAATAAGCAAACTAAGCCTTATATATCACACACCACAACAAGGTGTGCTGCTTTCATCCCCGCTTGACTATTTCAGTGGAATGTTCAGTCAATTACATCCCAGATATAACCATGTGAGTAAGTGTTCTTTAGCTGATTTAGAAATGATGTGGTTCCAGGTTTTTCTGTATTTTCAGCTCGTTTTGTAATTGCCTCAGGTGTGAAACAAGCGATGCTTTGTTTAAAGGGTTAATGAATAAAGCCACACGCCAGCCAGCACGGGCTAGTTAAGAATAGTTCTTTAAATCTGTGGTCGATGTAAGGTAGGTCTCGAGTGCATTTCTACCAGACAATCCTGGGTACTTAAGCTAACAGGTTTGTCTGTGTCTAAAGTGGCAGCCAAGCCAATGAAAGGAAGTTCAATGGCACAATCCCCAGCTGGTGAAACTGGGCTGTAAAAATTAAATATCTTTAACGTACGAATGTCCTTTTTTTAAAAAAAATCAGCAGCTCCTTTTTATTTGACAAGAGAAAACAACTGTGCATTATTTCATCATTTAAAGTTAAAAAATACCTTCATAATCAGGGCGGTTTAGTGCATTTCAACAAGAATTAGACCAGAACGTGATTAAAACAAAGAAATGTTGAGCCAATTCTTTCTCTTCGCCCCCACAACACAGTGGACTTTTGAACATCAATAGTCATAGGTTCACAGCTTACAATCACATTCGACTCGTAAAGCATTTAATGGTTAACGCCGTATTGGACAATTCCCCAAATCGGTGTCTGTAGTACGCACCATTAGATTCATCGACAGAAACAGAATTCATCCCGAGTGGAAATAAATGGTGGCGTTTGGGGAAATTATTTTATAAGATAGATGTACACGGCAATGCCAAGTGAAGTACAAAATGCAAGTGTCATCATTGTGAAAAAGAGATGTCATTTTCTTCCTTAACTTTTGCAAAAAATCCTCAATAATAGATTACTCACCTTGCCCACCCCTACACTCCCTAAAACGTCTCCAACGGGCAGGAGACCGGTCTGTTTATCTCTAAATAAAATATCTCAGTGTTTTGCAATCGAGCTGCAATGAGAAATATGCTCGGAATACGAGCCTTGCAGAGGAATCTTTTGTGGAGGATTTGGCCACTTGTGGTGCGAGAATAGGTCATGCCTCCAAAATGAAAAACTTTAAAACTGGACTAACGCTAAGTACCACAAAAAGCTCGGCAAATGAGGTTCCTTGTTCCAATTAGAGCAGAACATGTCATTTAATTAAAAAAAAACTTTTATTGGGGGAGGGGAAACACATTTTCTTTTTATATTTTAACATGGCAAATATTTCTATTTCCATCTTTAACTTCTATAATCCAGCACATCTGTTAATGAAGGTTTCAATCATGAATGAAGGTAGTCATACTGTTTTAATACTTAAACGTGGCCTTTTAAAATTCCAGTTGGCCTTCAAATGTCTTATTGTAGGCTGAACAGTTCCCTATAATTTATGGTTGATTTTATCCCTTCCTGTGCCTGATATAATTGTGGCACAGAGTGTTATACATGGCATTGTGCTGACTGAAATTGGTATATTATGTGATTTTTAAAAAAAAAAGAAATGTTTAAGCTCATGCCATTGAACTGCTTTGAATTTTGATCTTGCCTGATTTGAAATAGCAATATACCATTAGAAGAAGTTTGCTTCAAGGCTGTTGAAACCTTACTTTTCTATTTGAAGACATTTTAATGGTGTTCTGCTAATTAAGGTCAGGTTTGAAAGTTAAAATGCAAATTCTTTAATCATTAGCCCTGAAAATCTGGATCCACATTCACCAGATTCTCTGCTAAGCACAATGCATCTAGAAAGAATATAACCTAATTACTAGTAACTCGCTTCAGCTGTATGTTTTATTTTGCTAAACCATTTATATTCCTCCACTTTCCCCCACTTTGGGTCTCCTGCACACAGCCCAGCCAAGACAGGAAGCAGGCAACCAAATTACTCCAAGATTACTGCCAATATCACTACATGGGAGGATCAAGACCCTAAAGAACAATAAATAATAATAATAATAACCCGTGTATTTGATATAGCGCCCTTATCATGTCTTCGAGACGCCTCAAAGTCCTTCACAGACCATACTGTAAAGTGTTGTGACTCTATAATTGGCGAAAGGCCCACAAATTATAGATTTAAAATTGTACTTTCTCTCTTCCTGTTAACACACGACTTGAACACTTTGTACAATCAATAGTCGCCATCTTAGCCATCTCCAAAGGCTTTGACAGAGTCGGACATTATGCTTTGCTGAACAAATTTCAGATCTTCCACCAAACAAAGTTTGTTTGTGTCCATCTAAAATCTAGTCAAATCACTCCCTCTCGTGATATTGTTCATGAAGTTGATGTGTGATCTTTTCCTCAGCAATCCGAGGGTTATTCCAGAGTCCACTTCTCTTTCTCATTTTATTCATTCTCCACATCAAGAACCCGCCATTTACTCAACAATAACTCTGATCTTTTAGTTGTTGATGATTTCATTCTGTGGTAATTTATATTAATTAATTAACTAACTAATGCATTCGGAGATTGCAATGTGATGGCTGAATTACTAGACCATGATGTCTTCTGTTTACTTGATGGGCAATAATTGTCTGGACTCTTTAATTGCTCAAAGACACAACTTCCTCATGTTCCTCATGATGACTTATCTCCATCCTTTTTCCTCTCTTTCTAGTCACTTCAGCATTTCCTCTGATCTCAGATAGAATTCCCAACTTGCTAAAGCAGGCCGCAAGAAGCTAGGCTTCCTGCTTCAAGCCAAACATTTCTCTACCTCTAAATATTCTTCATGACATTCAAGTTGATCTAAAACCTCTCTCATTTTTCAAGAGGCTAAGAAAAAATCTACCCTGCACCCCTGGTCGAGATACAACAAGTAGATTGTTATCTAACAAGGTGATCCTTCTCTCAGTTCTTGTGGAAAAACTGAACAGTTGATGTAATTGTTGAACTCCATTTATTTATTTATTTATTGAACACAAAATGTTTAAAGTGCCAATACTGTACCTTCCAACCCCAGTAAAAAAATAGTTCTTCTCTAAAGTTTCTGGACAAAAGCTCTGTATCACAATCCTGTCTCCCAGTTATGATCTGTTTGAAAGAATCCAGCTTCAACAGTGTTCTTGAACGGTTGAGCATTGTTGATGTAAATGATTTCAGGTTGAAAAAATTCTACTCTAAACTGTAAGGCCTTTATTAAAGCACACTTAAAATGCCCGTTATACATATGTTTTCCCAGTTCAAATCTCTCTGTCCAAACCATTTGAAATGATACTGTAAAGTGTAAGAGATGCCTAAAATCACTCTGGAGTTGAAGTAGATCGTACAGTGTGATTGTTGGTGCTCAGAAGATGTGAGAGGTCTCTGGAGATTGCTACAAATCACCTTGTGCATTTTCATTTACAAATACCTGCTTATAATTCCAGACAGCTATGTATACCTGACAGTTTACATTTGTATTGGCAATGTCTGAATTTGTGAAGTCAGCACCATTTACTAAGCAATAAATATCACTTTGTAACTGCCTCTGTAGCAGTCAATATTTATATATTAACTTGCTCCTCACTGACTTTAATGACCTGTGTAAACTTGGCTTTTTATACCCTGCCTGCACTTTCCCCTCAGCTGCAGATTTCTTCAAATTAAATTCTTTCAACAATGGAACAGTTTTTCTCCCGAACATATCTTTAAACCTTTGGCTGTAGTTCAAATCACATATGGAATTGATCCACCACTTAATAGAACCCCCACTGGTCAAGTGAAGACAAATGCACACAAACTCATCCAAGTTAACAATCCTGAAACATATTAATACTTTACTCAGTAAAGCAGATAAAGGCCAATTGGTTTCAAAGGCGGCGATTGATTTAAAATGTGACCACAGTGAACTGTACACCATCACCTATTTATCATCGATGGATTCTAATCTAACGCTCCTTCGTTGGCTCAGTGTTTGGCCGAGTTTGGACCTGTCATGTGATGAGGCGGGTCAGGTAAAGCAGCACATTGCATTACAGGTGTAGGAGGCTGCTTTGAAAATCCTTAGAAATGTTATATATAGTTTTCCTGCAGGAATTATTTGGGGTCCTACAGTCTCGACGTACTAAGTGAAAGTGTTTTGATGATGTGTGCCTTAACCACATTTTCCTATTCATATCACAAGGAGTCTAAAGCCACCAGACACGGCAACATAAGGAATTTCACCCCCTTCAAGTCTGACATCGATTCTCGCCTCTGCCCGTAACCTTGGCTTCTGGTTAAGCTGAACCAAGGACATTGATTTTTAGCTTTACTATTGCTGGGGAACCTGAGAAACTTTATTTGATGAAGGTTATAAATTGTCCTACACCAAGTCTTGAAGCAGCCTGAAATCAAACAAGCTTTCAAATCTGTAAATACCTTTTAAAAAAAACAACGATATAAATTGTTTTGACTCTACGGTAAACTTAACTATCCAAAGCAGATATAATACAGCTCATTACTCTGGATCTAACTCCTCTCCACATACGCAGGCTGCAGCTACTCAGACAGAAAAGGTAAAACTCAAGAGGGAAGCTCAAGGGAAATTCTTGCACCACAAACCCCATCCTCTGAAATAAACAAGAAAAACTCCGACGTGTTAAACGTATTTGTCTGTTTGGGCAGTTGTATGGCCGCTAGCTCATGGAGATTGACTGTGGAGGAAAGGGATTAAAGTGCATTAATCATATGGAATGCATTGAGAATAGTGGATATTAGCAACACTTCTTCGGGAGGAAGTAAAAGAGAAAAAGGGAATGAATTATTTACGGAAATAATTGTCAGCTACGGTTTCAATCTGGTTATTTCAATGATGGCAACCTTTTTACTCAGATAAAATGTTAACAGCTTACATATGTTTGCCTGGGAAAATAAATGTTACAAAATGTACACAAATTAGTAAAAATCTGAAATAAAAGCATTGGTTTGAACTCTGGATCATCAGAGACACCATTCTAGACTTTGCTTCTTACAATCCTCCGGGTTTATGATATCTTCAGATTTCTAATGATCAAGATCAATTGCATTTTGACACTTGAAATTCATTGCTTATCACCCTGTCTCTGAGCGTGAAATAAAAACAGAAGTGGCTGGGAACACTCAGCAGGTCAGGCAGCATCTATGGAGAGAGGAAAGTGGGTCAACGTGGCAAGTTGATGACCTATCGTCAGATTTCCAGCATCTGTACTATTTTGCCTTTTGTCTCTGAACGTAGCACAGACACTACACTTAACAGTCTCTCGGAAATGCATAAACTCACCACCATGTCAACCTGCCTCGCAAAACCGAGTGTGGCTACGTGGACAGTTTCTGTCGAATTCTAATACTGATCAATTCCTGCAGAAAATAAACGATACCGAGAAGAACTGTCTTCCATCTCAAAAAAAAACACGTCGAAGACATCCACAGTTTTTTTTTCTTTGGAGTGCTGGTGCGACAGAGAAGGTCGTGAACTAAAAACTGCTGACATCAGTTCTGTTCACGACTGGATTACAACAACCACAACCACAAGATTACATTTGTGCAGCGCCTTTCACGTCGGGAGGACGTCCCAAGGCGCTGAAATTAATTAATACTGCGGCTTCAAATGCATGGGCAAAGTGAGTCCACTTGTCACGAGACCATCAGCGGTTGTTACCCTCCTGCTTCAGCTGCGTTTGAACGATCTGTAGTTATTGAACGTAAAGAGAGACGGGGCTCGTGTCACCGCCATCTCACGAGGGAGTTTCAGCACAAAAAAAAGGAAGATACTGTAATAGAGTGAACAGGTAAAGGCAACAAACACACAATTCAGAGACTTCTGGGCGTACAAGAGAATATTAGATGAATCCACCTGCATGTGCTGAGAATTATCCGTCAAGTTGTCCTCCCGTTTGCGAGCTTCCTCCAACAGCTGAGCATTCTTCTTCTTCTCCATCTGCTCCTTGTGCTTCAGGTTGGCCACTTTTTTGTTCTGATCCTTTACTTGTCTGGGAATGTCAGAGAATGATCAGGCCAGGTAAGATGGAAACTTATCGCTTATTCTAAACGATGGAATTCATTTTAAAGCACAGAGTATATATATATAACCACGATTTAAAATGAATTTGCTTTTAGTATAACAGGCCCATTTGTACAACACCCCCTGCACCCTTCCTTATCTTTCAAAAATACTCTATAAATGCAGTTGTTGTAATTGGTTTGAACGCCTCTGCTTTATATCTCATTGCTCAGTTATGAAGCCAGTCTGTGGCGTATACCACACCTATTAAATCTTTAAAACTATTTTATCTATTATGGTAGACACATTTTTCTAAAGAAGCATTTTATGCTACAGCTCATAGCAATTATAACATTCCAACCTATGAATGTACATGACAATTTGCTTATAATTCCTCCATGACTAATATGCCATGGCAACCCAGGTGGTCTAAATAATTAGCACAGAACACTCTGAGCCTGAGGGTGGGGGGGGGGGGGGTGGTAGGAAACAGCTGAGAAACATTCATAGCAATTAAATAGAGAGATGAGTGAACATGAGCATCTTAATGAAGTCAATTACTTCACCACTCAGGGTTGCTTCCTCTTTAAGGGGAGCACGTCAGGAAGCCAGCAATGGTAAAAATCCAACCATTATTTGCCTCGCTACAAGAGGCAACATTTTTTACATTTTTTTATCATCGGATTAACTCGGCAAATAAATACAAGCGGTGAAGCATTCACCATTTCTAGCGCATCGATCACTGTGTCGGTCATTTAGGCTAAACTTGGGTGAGTGGAGATATCATTGACTGAATAAGCTGGGTTATTCTTTACATTATACATATGTACATTGTAATGTCCTTCAGTGTAGTGCTGCCTTGTTTATAAGACAAGCAGCTTATGAGCTCGACATTATGTGACGTCAAGACATGAAAATCTCGTGATCGCGAGAATGGTGTTGTCCGCTGTGGGAGAGCTAGCGGCTAGCCTTCAGCAGCCCTGCGCAGTGAGCCTCAGCGACAGACTCCACCCTTGCTGTCTAGGGAGACAGGCGGTGGAAGCAGTAAGTGTTGTCTGTTTCAAGAACAAATGAGATAGCTTTCTGCTGGGAAATATTATCCCGGGAGACAATGTATGGTTTGGGACACGATGTCAAGTGACTGCCGGGATGGTGGAAGGTGAACCTGATGGACCCTGGTCTTCTCTCGCCAGCAAATTCTTATGTCGCAAACCAGGAGATGCTGATTGCCGACAGCTGGTTTGGCACCTGGACGTGGATTGGGATTTTCCAGGTCCCAGCATTCGCATTACAATCAGGTCCCTCGTACACACACAGTAAATGCCCTAATGCTCCAAACTGATCGCAAGATTTTCAAGTGTAAACTTTCATTTGCACTTTCGCCACAGCGTGAACAGAGCAAAAAAAAGCTTGACTTCTTTAGGGCACGGGAGTCACTTTAGTAGCAACAAGGCAGAGTTATTCTCTCTCTTCAATTCTTTCGGCATTTAGGGTCACTTTGAATTCTGCTCTTGGACAGGATCCACGCAGACGTCTCCACACCCCATTTCTTTCCACAATTAGAAATGCAAAAACGCAGGCATCACACAATGGGCCTGTTTCCAACATTCGCCATATCTCAGCCACAATGAAACTTGCAGAGTTGTTTTCCAGTAAACAAACTTGCCGTATCTCTGACACATCAGATAAAATAAACGTTTTACTTTGCTATTTAAGTTCAAGGCCTCATAATCAAAACATCTACAATTGTCGAAGGAAAGCGAAGTGGATAAAGAAAGATAGTTGTCAAAAGCCAGTAGGGGTATACTTATGCCGAAAAATAAATATACTGTTGTGTACCGCATAGATTCTGCCATCATGAAACCACTAACAATTTGGTCATGGTTTTGGGGTTAAACTACATTGCAGAAGATATTATAAAACCTGAATGAGTAGCTTAAACAGCGACAGACAAGATGTCTTGAAACTTTGACCAGCTAAAATATTCATTGAAAGTATTAATTATTAACATGTCTTATATAAGCAAGGAGAACCCTTCGTTTTACAGCTTAAATGCAAAAATAATACTGCTGCCTCCACAATATGGCCTGAAAAGCACTGTATTAACAAATAAGTTAAGTGTACAAAATCTCTTCTTTCCAAAGGCAAAGTGTTTTCTCACGAGTTTTGGACTATTTAAATGATAGCATCTAATTGAGGCACAAAAATTATTCCAGTTTTTTTAGATAGCAAACTTCAGAAAGAATGCTTTTTGTTCAAACCAGTTTACTATCTTTTCATCATTGGTGTGTGGTTGACCTGGGGAAAAGGTTTTCCTTTCACCATGCACTTCTGGACTGTAAAACATTTCCTCTGCTAAGCAGAGGCAAAGGCTGTTTTTTTGGTATAGAATGAAACAGAATCGAAGCAATGGGAATAGTATCAATGGTTCACAAACTTGATTTGGGTCACAATTAAACTTTTCTTTGGCATTTACAGTACATTCTATGAAGCGCTTTGAGACATCTCGAAGACATGATAAGGCGCTAGATCAAATGCAAGGATTATTATTATTATTTCAGAGAATATCACTCAGTGCTCCTGTCATTATTCCATCAATCAGGTGTCACAGATATATATATATATATAGATGATGCACATGAGTTATATGCTGTGATATTTTCTGATACTCAAGCAACATTCTTAAGAGCGCCACGATAAAATACGTGTAACATTGAAAGTTAGCAAATCTCTCGTGGTTTGGAAAAATGTTTACTCAAGTTTGATTTACAAATTAGCCCTTTATGGTTTCCAAAAGTTTTGGTCAGCAACGGGATATTGGATAGGCTTCAAAGGCTCCATAAAACATTTCTTATGGTATTGTATTTAAATAGGCATTATCGCTAGACTTAAGAGAAAGCTATATAACTATCAAGAATGAAAGTGTGGTGAGAAGATTTCTCAGACTTTCTTTGATGAAGGTCCATTTAAGCCGTTCTACAATTTTTTTTCTTTCCTTTGCCTTCCTCCCCGCCCACCCGCCCCACTCTGATTATCTAAAACTAACAAAGCCATTTCGTTTCCATTTCAAATATCACATCATTCGCTGAATCATGCAGAACTGGTATTAAATTGTTCCAGTAATGCTCCAGTCTCTACTTGCACACTTCAGTCTCTTACCAAATACAGTATACAAATCACCTCTGATTTCTAGCTTACGTTGTAAAGCAAGCGTTATTTGTTTAAATGTCTGAAGTACTCAACACCAGTGCGAGTGAGTAACTATTATTCCCTGCCTGCAGGGCAATACAAGCAGATTTTTTTTCAGTGAACATACTAGCCGGAATGGGATATCTGCTAAAGCAAATACACAACGTTAAAGAAGAAAGATGGACTGAGGAACTAGACTTAGGCTTACTGTAAACATCCCTGAAGGTGGTGATAGGACTTCAAGACAAGAGACAGATTCCCAAAACAATAAGCAAATGACAGGGTCTCTGATATTACAGTATTTCCTCAAAAGAAATACATCACACTCGCAATATCTAATATCTAAAAAAAAATAATTTCTGTTATTTAGGATAAATGTAACAGTTCCAATGCCAGAACCTCCAACTATTTATTATATACGCGGAACCTCAGTGTTGATGTAATTATGTCAGTCCGGCAAAAATATGTTAGCTGTAATAATGTGTTTGGAAAGACAAACTACAAATGTTAGTAGCAGGTTATCCCCCTTGGTTTAAAGAAAGATTTGAGGAGAGCTAGCCAAATCCACACCATCAATGCTGGCTCCAACTGAAATATTGATGACATGCAAGAGCAAGATAAGGGTTGATGAATCGGCTCCAGTAAAATATGACCTCTGGAGCCAAGCCCCTCAGCAAGAGTTAACCGAGTAGCAGTCAGGCTTGTTCCACCAACCCCAATGCCTAGCCCCTACACACAAGTGTAGCTCATGCAGCTTATAGCTATAATAATAATCCTTGCATTTGATACAGCGCCTTATCACGTCTTCGAGACGTCTCAAAGCGCTTCACAGGATACACTGTAAAGTGAATTGACTATATTTTGTGGGGAAACTGCAGCAGCCAATTGCGCACAGCAGCGTCCCACAAACTTTCATGGATTGAGTGAACACTCCGTGGAAAAACAGTCTGCCAATTGACTAAGAACCAGGTTCCTACTCACTGTTGGGTAAACAGAGGCGAGTGTGTGGAGTAAGGAAACTTTCCCAACGTTTCACCCTGACCGGGAATCGAACCCAGGTCCTCTCGCTTTTGCGAGACAAGTGCTCTAACCACTGAGCTACAGGGTTCCACTTGTTGCAAGTAATGCCTCCTTGTCCAATGTGACATTGAAGACAGCATGTCTAGATAATTACTACAGGAATATTGGACACAGTCACCTTTTGCACCTGCTTCAACCTGTTACAGTCAAACACCAGTTACCCCTCCTCTGATTTAAAGCTGGCATTAACGAGTATTTCTTATATTTATATAAATAAAAACACCCACCATAGCTATAAATTATGGCACCAGATTAGAATGCATCGCCATCATTCATCACCCAGTGAACATGCATTCCTTTGTGAACTAAACTTTTTCAATCTTGTAAATTCACACTTAAAGGGACACTGTTGGTGAAAAATTACTTTGCAAACTTTCTTTTTTGGAGGGGGGACAGGGGGGGCTTCTGGGGAAGTTTACTAAATTCTTTCCAGAGAGATGCCATTCCTATAAACCCCAAAGTATATTGTTTTTGCCCACAATTTCCGAGCAATGGCATAGTAAGGCAATGGGTTTCCAGATCTCCTCTTGTTGAACTCCAACTAGTTCCAACGTGAACCGCGCTGTACAAATATAATTTGTTGTTGTTGGTGCTCAAACACAAATGTCGTAGTAGTTTACAAGCTGACACACTGTCCTCTTGTAAAAATATTGTTTGTTTGATTGGCATCTCCTCCAACCAGTCCAAGTGAGAAGGGGAACCTAGTGTTTCAGGGAGCAT